AACTATCAACATGTGGGCAAGGGTCAATACACAATATGAAAAATATGGTTCCAATAGTTATGAAGAATGATCGAAATTTTTTGATTTTTAATAAAAGCTTAACATTTTATGAAGTTTTCACAGATCTGCTCTATGGGTTACGAAATCGCTGAAGTTGATTGAGGATGAGGAATTATTCCTGGAACAAGATGGAGTATAATTTTCAATTCTCAGATATTTCTACATGCTGGCAATGATTTAGTTCAAGTTTTTAAAACAACTCTGGACATGTTGCCAACAAACGAGTATAAAATTGTTAACCAGACGAATAAAAAGACATCTGGAGAACATATGAAAAAGATTTAATTCACCCACAATAATGATGCGACAATTTGTAAAAGTTGGAGAAAATTTCAATTATCATAACATAATTGTTCAAAAAAGAAGAAAATTATTTACGAAGAATTCCAGGAACGCGCATGTCGCCACTCTCCAATATTCTTTCATGTTTTGAGAACTAGAAAATGGTTACAATTTTAATACAAACTATAAAACTCCTTATTCCTTAAACTGGAGAATTTTTCGAAAAAAGGTATATGCTCGAGTTTTTATGCATACCGCATCATAGTCAGGGAAAGATCGCATAACTGCATTTTAAAATATGGGCAATTATTCCTCCAGTTTATCGTGGATATGTACTCAAAAATAGAATATAAGCGTCTATGATGCATCCATCTTAATCAAAATCAGCTAAGATCTGAAGAATATAGGTGTTTGCGAGTTGCTGTTGAAAACGATAGAAATACGAGATATATCGGAAAATTAGTGGTTTTGCCATAAATATATGCATGAACATGATCAAGATGGTGGGACAAGTATTCGAAATTATAGAAATCCTGATCTTTTTATTTTCTGTATTTGCAACCCCAATTGGTAGGAAGTGAAGGCAAAACTAGTTTCCAATTAAAAATCTTCTGACCGATATGATGTTACAGCCAGGATTTTTTGAACAGTAACTTACTAACCTGGTGAGTATCATTACAGAAAGTTATGGAAAAAACAAGATGTTGGGTGTACTCTATTGAAAATCAAAAAAGAGGTCTTCCCCACACCCACATTTTCATATGAAAAAACTCCTCCAACACAAATTTATAGTCTCATGTTGACAGAATTTCCTGATCCTCACGCTTAGATTGTCATGAACAATGTGGAGCAATCAATCTAAAATCGCCTTCCACAGATAAAAATACCAAATTCTGGTTTAAGAATGCCCAAAAGATGTCATCCAAGAAATTCAAATAGGCAATAATAAATACCCAGTCTACAGAGGACTGTCACCTGGATAAGGAGGATTTACAGAAACCGCTCAAACTTTGCACAAACTCCAGACATCACAATTGACAAACCAATGGATTGTACTTTATTCACCTATACTTTAAAGATGTTTCAAGCATTCTTAAACATTGAATACTGCCTCTCTATAAAATTCATTAAATGCATTTTCAAAAACATTGCCAAAGTTAGAGACATAGCTGTTTTTTGGATTGAAGAATGCAATCGAAACAGATGAAACTTCACAATAACAGACGGATATCAGCCAAAATGAAGCCATTTGGAGGATTTCAACTATCTCAATTCCCGAACGCCATCTCGCTGTTGTTCAGCTCAGCAACCATTTAAAGAATAGACAAAGAGTATATTTCAACGAAGAAAATATGCGACAAAAGTTGTCACAAACTCCGAACACAACATTGATAGTCTTCTTTTTTTGTACCCAACAGATAATTTTACTTGAATTCTGTTACATCAAGTAGAGCCAAAACACGTGACACAATATTTTCTAAAAAAATTTGCAGGAGGAAGCAAGAAATCCCTACCCAAACACATGATGGTGTATAAGTTTCATATACAATTGGTCGCCTGCTTACAGTGCATTCAAACAATCCTAAGTGTTACTAAATTCGATTATTACTTTATACAGACCATGCGCCAGCATCTTTTGAGATCCGAAGCCTTCTGTTCTGAGATGTATGCCATAAGCTCGGTTTTAATAGAGCATGATAATCACTGGCATATAACACTAGGAGCAGCCTCGCTTATGAGTTTGACGGAGCAACTAACAAAACATTTTTGCTATTATATCAACAACTTGCTCACTTTCAAATCCAAAACAATTTTGAGAGAAGTATTGAGAGAAAATCTTTTCGAAGATATTCTGCGAAATTCACAAAAAAATAGACACATAAGGTCGAAATAAGCTTTTATGTATATATATGTAACCAGTCACTTACATTGATTGAAAACACATGCTTACTTATGAGCAGTAAAACTCTTTTACAGCTAGGTATGTAATTTCCAAGATGAGATGGCTTTGACGTTCTTGACAGAAGCTTTTTAAAGAAAATAAGTTATATTGTATAGCTAGACAATTTTTTAGGGGGGGGGGGATTTAGCTCTTGTGGTTAATTATTTGAAATAAAAAGGAGAAAAAGAAAAAACGCTTTTCACAGAATTTTAAAAGCGGTTAATGAATATGGAAGTGTTTTTTTTCCTTAGATGCACTAGAAGAAACGTGTAAATGTTTTTCGTTAATGTTTTACTGGCTGAAATCGATAGCAGCAAAAGAATGCTCCTATTATTGCATCATCTGGAATCGGAGCTACTCCATTAGATGTTGGCGTACTTGTTATCCATGTTTTAAATTACCCTTTGATTTAGAACCCACCAAATATCCAGTATGCAACTTTTCTAACAATTCTCGCATATGTTAAAAAATGCACTTTTATCATATTGGATGAATGTGTTGTGATCTGAAGTCTATTCGGAGGAGTCAATCAAGCTATTCTGACTACAACAAAATTAAATTTTTTACAAAATTAATAAGAACATTCTACAAAAAAACTACTTCAAATTCTAAGACTTATTAATCGATTGATAGCGTCGCTGATCATAAACAATCAGTGCTTTATTCTACTAAGTTCCTTAATTCCTTAGAACCACATGGAATGCTGCAGCATAATTAAGTTTGAAGATTGGTTTTCCAATTATTTTATCGCATAATATAGACACATCATCTCTGGAATGGAACGAAGTTATGTGTAAAGCAACTTTTGCCAAACGTGATACAATCATGAGAGAAGCAAAAATGTTTTCATACCAGGAATGGTTCTCAGTGAAAGATATGCTTTTCGATTTCAATCTATTGCAATTTTCAGTTAGGCTTGCATTCGCTATGACATTTAACAAAGCTCAAAGAGAATCATTAAATATAGTAGGTGTAAAACTTGAAATGCCGTGCTTTTCGCTTAGTTAACTTTATGTCGCCTATTTTAGAGTTGGATTTCCAAGTATTTTGCACATTAATGAGCCAAAATGATAATATTGTCCCTCTGCATGTGTTTAAATAATATAAAAATTTTAAATTATGTATTGAAAATGTATATTGCCTCTAGATATTCAAACTATTATACTCTCCCAATAATTTTTTATACATTCTTAGTGTTTTATCATCTGTAATATCTAAGAGTCAATTTAAATATTAATGACAAACAGCGTAATCCAGTAATAGAAATGCATTAGCGTTACTAGAAACTATTTCTGAAAATTTACATACCTTAAAAATTAGCAAAATAGCAGTAAAAAAATCTATGTACTGAGAGCCAATTTATTTGGAATGCTTCAGCATGGCTAAATAAAGATATCTGAAGTGTCTTTTTTATTAGAGCAGCGCCGTGTGAAACTGCAAGTAAGAAATAAAAATATATTATTTGCTACAAAGCAAATTCATCTGTAAAATTCCGTGATTGCTGTCACTCAAGACTATCAAGTAATGATCAGAATCAATAATCAATAGAATCGCTTTCGGTGTCGAACAATACTGAGAACAGTTAATCTTTATTTTAATAATTTTAACTTATAAGAATGTGTTTTGCGAAATCTAATAATGTAAAATAAGCGAGAAAGGTCACAAATAATAATGAAATTAAATTGGAATTATTTTAACCTAGTTATATTATGCCATTATGTGATTTTCTTTTTTGCGAATTATTGCATTGGGTTAATTAATATCGATTTTATCCTGTAGGAAGAACTGGTATTCAACTAGTAATATGAAATGAAGTTATCAAAATATAAATAGTTTGAATAATTTAATGAGAATAAATTTAATATAAAATAATATATATCCAGTTATAAACATTGTAGTTATAAGCAAAAATTAAGAAACAGTTTATAAACATTAGCAATAGTGTATTTAGAAAAAAAATCAGCTTCGTTGCAAGTTAAAAAGAAAAAATTATTTTATGTAACTTCATTTAACGGCTAACTATTATTTGTCCTCAGTTTTGTCAAATGTTTATTAACATTACAATTTTTCAGAGTTCAAATTAAGTATTTATAATTTCTCAAGAAAAATAAACTCAATAATGATAAGGTGTGAATTTGGAATGTTTTAAACTCGTTTGTTGTGTGTAATCAAGTTTAATAAATTAACCACACGGTTTATTTTTTTTAATTTAATTTCAGATACAAAATAATCACTCTTTTTTTAAAATGTATAAAAATAATTCATAAATAAATATACAAATTTTACTTATATCCATTTCATTAATTTTCAGCATATATTTTCATAAATATTTTCTCGTAATAAACATTTGTCAAAACATTATTATACAAAAGTATGTTCAAATTTTTTACAATGTAGAACTTTTCATACAAAATACACGAAAAAATTTATTATTGTGCATAAATAAGTTTACATAGGTTTTTAATCCATAAAATAAATTTTCACAAATACTATTCACAATCATAAGCTCTTTTATCATTTCAAAAATATTTTTTAAACAAAAATTATTAATTTCGAAAATATGTGTTTCTGTTCCATGAATGAATATAGTCACACTTAAAAATTTTGAATTTATTTTTAAACCTTATTATAAATATAAAATTAAATTTATATAAATCCAAAATGACTTATGAAAAAAATAAATGAGTGAGTTCTCAAAACAAAATTCTCAATTCAATTCAATCAATTCGATTCATTCAATTCTCAAGACAAAAGATTTTTAATGGAAACTAACTTTCAATGTATTTTGAAAAAGATAATAATTTAGAATAAATTTAGAATTCACATCTTAATTAATATAAAGCAATAACCAAGATTCATACATTTGAAACCCTTTTTTTCTGATATTTTTCAAAAAGTTTTACTCTTATAAATTTTTAAGTATAACTTTAAAGTAGTTCATAAAGCATTTATAGAGCACTACATTAAAATTTTCTATGGACAAAATTTCAAAAAATTTACATTATTACGCAATTGAAATAAAGTGTAACTTACAGATCTAATTTTCTATTATTACAATTCACCAAATTTCTTTGACAAATCCTGCATGCATAAAAATTAATATGTACACCATACCTAATCTTGTAAAAAACAGAACGAAGCAAATCACAAGTTTTAAAAAGAACAAATTCTCTTTAGTTTCATTAAAGTTGACTATCGTGCACAATTCCAGGATCTTTCAAAGTCTTCATTCTCTCTTCAACCGCTTTATTTAACTTTCTCCTGGGTCCTAGGGGCATCCCTAGAGCCTTCAAATCCTCTTCAGACAGAAGAGACAAAGATTCTAAATCAATTTGTTCTGATTGAAAAAGGGGCAAATATTCCGTTAACCCTACGGTAGTCAAGAATAACGACAAAGGGTCCGTTGCTTCGCAGTCTTCGTCATCTGATACTTCGTCATCAGAGTCGTCATCATCAGCTTCGTCAAAGTCATCAGCTTCGTATTCGTCTTCCCAGTGGATGTGCCTTCTCACCAGACTACTCGCACTGCCTATGCTATCAGAGACAGTAGAAGCGAGGTTTTTGTGATTTTGGTTTCCACAGTTTTCATACGAATTTCTATTATTGTCCCTGCTACCATTATCCAGTACTGTGGCTGTTGTAGTCAGTGCTGTTAGATTGACTAAAGAACTCCTAAAAGCAACGGTCCCGAATCCTGGTCGGTCGAAGATGCTGACGTGAGAGGACGATGTCTCGTGGAGTTCGTCCCCTATTCCAGAATCGGCAGTTTGCAACACGTCGCTGTTCGCGTCGTCACTGGAATGTGTGTCGGATGTGCTGCGAGATGGATTGTCTGGCGAAGAATGACCATCTTCGCTCTCTTTGACGTAATCGGGGGTAGATATCCGTGGTATCCTTTTAATTTCAGTATAGTTTGAAGAACGATTGTCCAACTCTTCATCTCTTGTAATTATGTCACCGGGCCTAAACACGACACTTTTTTTCTTGCGTTCCGTAGACGTTGGCTTTTTTAAAGAGGATTCCTTATCTTTTCCGTTGTTGACTATGTCGGAAAACTTTTGGGCATTTTGGGAGTTTCTGAAATAAATAAATTTTATATTGAAATAGAAATTTAGTAAAACTATATAAAATAAAAAATATTAGAAATATAAAGTGAAAAGCATAAAAAAGTAGTTATACAGGGTTATTCATAATTCCCTCCGGGGTTTCGAAGAGTAATAGTAAATAAGCGAAGACTAATATGGCAAAAAAGAACATATGAAATTATTCCGAAAGTATTCAAGTTTTAATTTAAGCAGTTGCCGGTAGATGGCAGTAACATGTACCACTGAAGCCAGTTGTAGTAAAGAAAAATGGCGTTTACAGGTGGAGGGAATTATGAATAACCCTGTATAATGTAGGTCAAAATATGATAAGAAAAATAAAATATGATCTTCACAACTTCCTGGTAATTCGGTAGTAGATTTCAAATAAATACTGTTGATTAAAGAAATTTTAATTATATTCGAAATTTTATTTTAAAGAAATTTAATTTTTTTTATACGAATTCTGGTCCAGTTCATTCAAAATTGAGTACTTCTGTTTATACTATTTCATAATCACTCGGATTTTTTTTTAATATTTAAGTTATTTATGAAATAACTTTTCCTCATATATTGTAATGTTTTCATTCATTTATTTTGAAAGAAAATTTCATATATAAAGACAAATTGATAAGAGAATGAAAACATTTAATTGAAATATAGTAATGAAATATAATGAAAATAAATGAATGAAAATAATAAATGAAATATTTATATTTAACGACAACTTAACGAATGTGTTTATATTGAATTGTTGTTCAATTCTAAATGGCTTCATTTTAAAATGAGCACAATGAAAGCAATCAAATATTTTCAAGAAATAAATATAAGTATTACTTTTCGAAAGGAAAATAATCTTAAGAAAATAAATATACTACCGGTTTTGAAGAACAGATGTAAGTAGCTCCAATAGCTCCGCGAAAGAAGATAATTTAAAAGTTTTTATTTTATTTTTCTTCTTACAAAAATAGACTTAAAAGCAAGAATTACTTTCACAATTTCTACTTATTTTGCATTCAGTGGAAAAGAAACTCTATCTTGATTTAAAATTGATATAACAGTGTAGCATATTCTAATTACACATGGATACAGTAGCGAAAAAGACAAAAACACACATTTCATTTCAACATCAGTATTTTAAAAGCACTGAACATGAATTGTTTACTTTAAGATTAAGAGGAAAGGGATATATTTAACCTGAGTAAAAGGTATAAAAATCAAAAGGACATAAAAACTATCATATTAAGATGCAAATCAATGAGTCTTATTGTTTGAAACTATACTAAAACATAATTAAAAAACAACATTATTAAGGATGTAGCAACATGACTATATAATATGGATCAAAGTTAATAGAGAGCAAAGGATAAGATAGAAAGGCAACCATCCAGCTAATCAATCAATAAGAACACTAAAACATTAAATTTATTACTAATATTTTTATTATAATAATAATAATTTTTAACGGATAAATACTTTGTAGTAGCAAAGTGTTTCATGAAAATATTATGTATAATTTTCAAAGAGATTTAGTAATGAAGTTTTATATTGATAAAAAATAGGAATGTTCTTATTAAGACAAAAATGAGCATACATAGAATCAATAATTTTTTTTACTATTGAAAAATACCCGCTTATGCAAAGAAATGGATTTAAAATATGGATCTAGATTTTTGTAAATCTTTGCAATAACATTTTGATTAAATTGTAATGAATTGACTACAGTGATTATTTTAATTTTATCTAGCATTTAATAGATGCGTTTGACCAAAGCATCCTCACACTTCTACATGTAACTGCTAAAAATGTTTGTATTATGATTCAATAACGAACTATTTTTTCGGAAAATGAGTAAAAGTATTTCTGCACAAACTTCAACACAATAATATAGAGATGAAAATAAAATAAAATAGAATTATTCATGACTTCCTAACATCCATGTTTGCTTTGTTGAATCATTATTAACTGTTTCTTAGAACAGTGGAATTACAAAACGATTTTAAATGTCGGGAGGGTGTGACTTTTATGAAACAGCAGGTAATCTTTGGATATTCAGTTTGTTTTAAGGAAAAAAAGCGTGATAAATGAAAGCAGAAATGAAATGTTTGACAGGATCATTTCAAAATATTTTGAAATGCAATGCAAAAAAATGAAATAAAAACATTGATAGTTAACAATTAAATGGTTCTCGTATGAAAATAACAGGAATTTTATATTCAACTTAATATACTTTTGGCATATCATTGAAAAATAATAATCAAAGCTTAGGTCCCCATTTCCTGATGGTGTAAGTTGATTTTTCAAGTGTAATAAGAATACGATGGCAATATTTAATGGATGATAAAAATAATCAAGTCTTCAAACAATATACAGATTATTTGTTGCTGATTGCCTGATTGCTGAGATAATCAGCATACTTCAGCAAAATTATGCACCGTAAAAAAATTACTGATCAAATTATGTTAAAAAGTACCAGGACTCAGGGTGCCAGTACTTTATACCATAAAATTTACAGAGTAAAAAATTCTGACATACCGCAACTTTTACAGTAATATTTACTGAATTTCGGTAATTAAATATAACTGTAAATATTAATGTATAAATTTTAAGGTGAAATATATTTTATGGAGGCTGCACTCAGGGTGAAAATACTTTTTACCGTAATTTGCTCCGCAACTTTTTACATTGTAATAAAAAATAAACTAAACAACAATTTATTTCATTGTTATTACAATATAATCAAACAAAATAGCCAAATAATCATAAATAAGATGGTACTCAACTGTAACAGAATTTTTTAACTGCGAGGGAAAAAAACAGATTACTAACTGCTTTCACCTAATACGGTTAAATAACCAGAATTTTATTGCACCAACTGAACTCATCTAATGAAGTCAGTTCCTTGCAGATGGATTTCATGCAGATTCTTTACCGTATACTTTACGGTTAATGGTTAATTGGATAGACAGACTGCTGCCCCTGTTTTTACCATGCCGATGTATTTTACCATTTCTAACAGTGTAAAAACAACAGAATATTTTTGATGCTGTTCAAATTATTCATTTTATGAAAATTTATTTACATTCAATGGATTTTCGCTTACCTGGAATCTCTTCTAAAAGCTGTAAGTGACGATCTTAATCCATCAACAGAGGCCAGCCTCTCCTTTTCTTCTTTTTCGGCTTTCTTGGCTGCCTTTTGTTGTAACTTTCTGTAGCTTTTTATCCTCTTTTCTGCATCGTACACGCTCTTTTCCTTTAACCTCTGCACTAGTTTCTTATTGACGAGAGCATGTTTGGATTGAGCTTGATCCAAAAGCCTCAAAACTTCATTCTTTTGATTAAGAACGGCAACATCTTTGGCAGTATGAAAATCGTTGTCCAGAGCCCACAAATTGACTCCAAAATTGACCAGAAAGGAAACACAGTCTATATGCCCATTGCCAGAAGCACAATGAAGGCATGTGTTGCCGTAAAAATCACATTTGTCTGGATCCCCTCTGAAAATTGAAGGAAATTCTCATTATTTCATTTAATTTGTTTTAAAATTAGTTTTAAGACACTGATATATATATATGTGTTAATCAAACAGTGCACAATCAAAAAATAAATAACAAAAATAAAAAAAATGGTGGATTTATTATATGAGGAGTTTAGAAACATACCTTGCCAATTATGTTAAAATAATATTTTGAAATCAAAATTTACAATATCTCTCCGAAACCCCACTGTGGCTCAGGGGATAGATGTTTGTGTAAAAGTAGTTCCTTCAAAGAATAAATTTTAATAACTTTTAATTTTTTTCATTCTTTCACGTACTAATAGTAGAGAAGATTTTGAATTGTAAGGTACGTAAAGTTAGGTAAATTTTTACATTTTAAAGAATGTTATTAAATATTAAATTTGAATGAAATCTGTCTAACTGTTTCTCAGAAATCAAATTTTAAAGAAGTCCTGTATTGAATTTTCAAAATTTCGAATACCTGACAACCTAAAATATTTTCAACCATTTGTAAATTAGATATTACAAAGAAATAAATTATTCTAAAAATGATTTTAGCATCTATGGATGAACGCATTTTATTTGCAATCTGTAATTTTCTTTTCCAAATGCAGTTAATGTATATTAATTTCACAAAAAAATTTCAGCTGAATTCGCCTTTAATTTTAATTCAGAAGGTTAAAAAATTCAATGTTACTGATGGTTAAGATACAAAACTTTATCAACGCGCTTTAACTGCACTGGTTATCCTGGAGGAAAAATTACGAAAAAAGCGAATAATAAATAACTGCTTTCAATTCTCCTTCTCAGAACCTTGAAGGCTTGCAACTACTTTGCAATAACAATGGCGTACACTTCCGATGAAGCTGGTAGAGCCAATAATTAAAAGCACCCCTGTATGTGCTATATTGTTGAAGATATTCATACTGAAGGTATTTTTTTCATTTTAAACTGACGCATTAGATTTCTTTATTTCATGCATGTAATAATTTCGGTTACACCATAATTGTCTAGTTAATACTTTTTATGTTATTTTATACTAAATTATGTACAATTGTGTGCCATTTTCATTGATTATTACGCTTAACTTTTTGAGTTTGCGGTCATTTTTGTGATTCTTTTCATTAATTTATGATAACTATTGTAGAAAAATCTCTCATTTCCTTTTCCGATAATAATAGATTAATGAAAAAGAAACCCTCATAACGGTAACAAATAATTAAAAAACCGGAACTATGCTGGTAGCAAAAACTCTACGTGTATTTTTACGTTCAGCACCACAAAAAACTAAAAAAATAAGTGCATTTATTTTTTGCAAAAATGCCATCGTAACATTCGAAACAATATGTTTTTCAAATCCGGTAAGTCACTAACATTTCATGACCGAATCAACTTTTTTCCTCTTCTTGTCACTCTAATTATATTTAACTCCAAACAAGGTATTTCCGCAGTATCATTCAAATTAACAAATTATCGCCATAGCACAAACTCTGACCCCTCGATGCTATGTCAAATCATTTTCTGTTTGGCCAACATTCCGAACTGTTAAGAAAGAAAAGAAGAAAAAAAAAGACGAGCAACGTGAAAGTGACCTCGTCTCGTTTCACAGGTGGTTTGTTACGATATAGGTATAAAGGTATGGGTTCAGAATAAATAAATAAATGTTAGTTACCATTGCGTGTATTGACCGTGACCATCCATGTACGGGGAAAAGTCACCAGACCGTCGTGTCACGACATTAAGTGACTCCCTCGGTCTTGTCATCGTGGTAATGAAAGTTTGGCATAACTAATATGTTCAGCAGCGCGTAACAATTACTGATATAGGTAGAATTGTGCCGCTACTATTCGAATTATTGAAATACTTTTTTGCGAGTTTAATTACTTGTTTGATGAGATTTCATTTATCTAATTAAAAATATGATTAACGGAACACACTTAAGGAAATAAGTAATGAACGGATGAGGGTATATTGTGAATGAAATAGCGTAATAATTACTGTAAAAAAAATTTAAATTTTTAAGTTTTTCTGATAGAATACTAATTTATTATTTTTTAACTTCAAACAGAAAAAAAGAAAGATTTCGATGCAGTTAGTTGACAGAAATAAAACTTTCGGAGTCAAATTTATCTGTTATTTGAATTAAGTTTTGATCATCTAATATAAAACATAATTAACAGAGCATGTTTAAAAGTTAGATAATGAATATGCTGATACACTGTAAAAAAAAATCCGAATCAAATTACCGTATAAAACACTGGCACTTTTGGTGCGTCACATATAAAATCTATTTAATCGTAAAATCCATTTTTACCGTAAAATATTATACTGTAATTTTTACAGTAATGCTTAATTAATTAGAGTGACACTAATTATTACTGTAAAAAGTACGGTATATTAGATTGTTTGTTCCATAATATGTTCTGATAAAAATGGATTTGATGGTAAACAGTCCGTACAGGCATTCTTAGTACCGGTACATTTTACCTCAAATTAACCTGGAATTTCTTAAAGTGTATATATGTTATTAGATTTGTATAATGCAAAAATTCTGGAATAATTTCTGAAATTTTTAAAATTCTTTTTGATAGAATGTTAAATTTTTGTAACGTTAAACAAAAAAAAAGGAAGAATTAAGTAATAGTTAATTAAAAGAAACAAAACATTTGGACCTAAATTTTATAAGTAATTTGTAAGTTTTAGTCGTGTAATATAAAATGCTGTTAACAAAACATGTTTCAGAAAATAGGATTATGAACAAGATATGGATATGAGCGTGATTAGGAATGAAATAGTGCAAATAGTCGAGAATAATTTCTGAAATTTTTAAAAAACTATCTCTTACATCTTGAAATCCCATTAAATCCCTTCAAGACCACTTACTTTGCTTGCCTTAATGACTTTTCACTTCTCTACAAATTTCTTTTTCCTTCCTATTAATCTAAACTTTTATGACGTAAAACAAAGTATTTTGTCGAAGCTAATTAGAAGCATTCATAGCAACTGACACTCAAAATTGTAGAAAATCATTAATTGGAATGGAATCAATTGAAATAGAAGACATGTGTAAAATTTTCAAACATGAACTTCATAATATCTAGGCCCACATTAGAATTTTAAAGTTTACAAAATAAATAAATGAATGAGAGCAGTTAAAAGACATTGTAATTTATATTTCAAATAAGCATTTAATCAATATACTATATACTTGTAAGTTAAGAATATATTTAATAATATATTTAATATAGAATTTATGTAACCTATCATTTATAAAAGTTTTGTCGACCAACGGTATTTACATTTATCTGTAAAATTATTGTAAGATAACGCCTGCTTTTTAGGAAGAGAGTTATATTACTTGATTTCAAAGAATACATGTTTTCTTGAGATTTTTTTAAGCTAAATAGAAAAATTATCTGCTTTATTTTATACATTTTTCATAAATTATCTCCTTTTTGTAGAATTGGTATGAAACATGTAGTTCATATACTGAACATTCCTAGCCCAAAGTGGGCTTTAGTTTTTTCTCCCCTAAATGTTGCTTATTTTATTCTAAATTAAAAAGATTAGTCTTTTGTAACAGTTTCCGAAACTTTATATTCAGAAAAGCGCATTTCATTTTAATGTTTAATTTAAAAAGTGGCTATAAATAAATTAACTTAAAAAGATGGAAACTAACACAAAACAATCACAAAAAATTGTATACGGAGAAAAAAAATTTTGGTAAAATTATCGCATTGCAGTACGCAGTAATAAAACCAAAATTATACTGTTTATAAACCATTTGTTTAGTAATTTTTCTGTTCATATGACAAAGCAGCGTATTACCAGAAGTTCTGGCTTACAAAATTATAGATCTTATTACTACGTGTATTGTAAAAATACAAAATTGAAAAGAAAATTTTACTGAATGAATGGTTTTTATGCCATGTTCCAAGGTATCATGATAAAATTACCAACTCTTATCACATTTACCAAATTTTAACACGTATTATAGAACAATTTTTTACTGTCAATTTTGCCAAAATCATTATCAAAGCCCTTCGATAAAAATTATTGTGATTTTTGGTGTTCCCATACAGAAGGAAACAAAGTAAATTTTACCATGTTTCTTGCTCTGTGGGTCTGTAGTTTTGACCACATTTTTTTTCTCGGTGCAGTCCATCTTGGAAATACCGATTCTGTTACATTTTTCTCTGAAAACACTGAATCAATTTTTAAAATAATTTTATTTTTATTCTTTTGTTACGGCACCCATTTTAAAACGATTTTTTCCACATATTTTTTTTTGAATTTTGAGAATTTTTCCATATTATAGTAGCTTTGACCATACTTTTTCCTCAATGTAGAAAAAAAAATATTGCATCCATACTTCATTTGTTAATAAATAGCCAAACTGTATTCGTGACAAACGTCATATTTTATATTTAGTGACAGATAAAATAAAATATATCAAAATTAAAGCAGTTTAAATTGAAAATAGAAAAAGTAATATATAGCCACCATTTATAATGCATAAACTCTTTCCAAAATAAAAAGTTAACTTATAAATACCAAACTTATAAATATCGTTAAATTTTAACAAGGAGATTATAACTCTTCTGGACAAACTTCCCTTTATAAGAGTAGATCGAGATTAGTCATATGGAAATGCATTTAACAAGCAAGGGTATAAAATAATAATGTGAATAACCTCTTAAGAATAGTAATATATAACCCCTACTTGTAATTCACTTTGATAAAAACTAAGTTAAACTATACAGCTATAAATAAATTCATAATGAATTAAAATAAACGATAGTGATATTTATATTCATTACAAACGCAATTCAACAAAGTATGGTGAAACTAAAGTTCGATAATGAGAGGCCTTAAATTTCGTTTTTCAACGAGCATTCATAAGATCCAGACATATGGATAAATCACGACAAATAGTTCAACACAAAGACTATTAGACTGTCTATTACGATAAAAAAGTAAATAAAATGTTAAAGATTT